TCTAATACATGGAAACACACCTGCTTTGCTGCTGCTCTCTTGTGGGCCTTTGTGTAGCTCTTCCTTCAGTTCTGCCCTCAGCTCCCCCCCCTCTGTTCCTGCTTCCAACACCTTGTCACACCACACTTAAAAGAGAATCCTCTGAACTGTCATTCAGGCTTCAATTCCACACTTTACACCTCGGTCTAAACAAAGACATTAATTATCTTACCCATTACAAAGATAGCTTCCCCAATTATCACCTCTAATGTCATTAGCTCCCATTTACCTTGCTCCCCTCTTCTGTTCTGAAATCTGATTTGTCCTTTTCATATGTGTTCATTTTTTTTAATTGTATCCTTTGGTATATATGGTTGTGACAATTTTCTTCCACTATTTGATCTGAGGAAGTGGGTCTGGCCCACGAAAGCTCATCATCTAATAAACCATCTTGTTAGTCTTTAAAGTGCTACATTGTCCTGTTTTTTGTTTCAGCTACACCAGACTAATATGGCTACATTTCTATCTCTGTTCCTTAGACACACAGAAATCACTAGTGCCTAAATTAAGCTCCTTCTATTCCCTTTATCCCCCTCCCCACCCCACAATGAGATGTATTGCAACTGCATTTTTTGAAGTTATTGCAAAATTATCAAGTGTCCTCCATTTCCACAAGCCAGAATGACAGTACTAAACCATGACAATTACAGGGTGGAGAAGACCATGTCACTAACCCTCACCACCATTGCTTGAAAGGTATATTGCCCATGAAGATCAACTGGGCTGGGTTATTTTATATGTAAAGCTACTGAGAAATGCATATATCAATACCATGATGGCAATGCTTATATTATGTAAATAATAGCTAATAATTGTCAAATGAGACCACTTCCCTACCTGCTTACAAAGCGCCTTATCCTATTTAATTTTAAGCTAGGATTAGGCCCAAAGCAATCTGTTGATATTACCGAAGGAGATCCAGGTAATATTTAGTCATCCGTCAAAAAATATAAGGGACCAAGTAGTCAAAGCCCCACTGCCTAGTAGAGGGCATCTTTGAAGAAATTTGAAGAAACTTTGAATTTACTTCTGACAACAGTGCACTTTCTCACTGGACATGGGGGCTTTAGCACAGATTTCACTTTGTGTCAGAATAACTCAGAAATGTGTTGTCCCAGATAACTCCATTCCAGTCTAGGCAACGTGCAGCCCAAAGACAGAACAAATTCCTTTGAAGCTGGAAGTCAAAACATCTCACCTCTATATATAGCTCACAAAGGGCTTGTTCACCATGACACAATTCTCGATGGAGAGAGATGATACATCCTGCCTCTCTGTGGACGTGTCAAGTGTTTTCATGTGGCATCTTAACATACTCTTTAAATCATCAACTGCTTGGATGAGGAAGACACACAAAAAGCTTGCCCATAGAACCATAGAGCTGGAAGAGACCTTAGAAGGTCATCAAGTCCAGCCCCCTGCTCTAGGCAGGACCAATACCAACTAAATCAACCCAGCCAGGGCTTTGTCAAGCCAAGACTTAAACACCTCTAGGGATGGAGACTCCAATCACTACTGAGAACAGCCTTTCTCCATCTTCTCTGGAACCTCCCTTCAGGAAGTTGAAGGCTGCTATCAAATCCCCCCTCACTCTTCGCTTCTGCAGACTGAACAAATCCAAGTCCCTCAGTCTCTCCTCATAGGTCATATGCTCCAGCCCCATTTTGGCTGCCCTCCACTGGACCCTCTCCAATGCGTCCACATCCTTTTTGTAGTGGGGG